AGTTATTTATAAATGAATGGATATCGGTTTTCATATTTTGTATATTCGAAAATCTCTACTATGAAAATTTAATAAATGGAAATAAAAGACACCCCCGAGTGCTATTTTTCGAATGATAATTGAAAGATAGTCTTATTTTCAGGGAAACTTGGTATATGAATATCCCACGCAAAAAGCTATAGAGTGATTTCTCTTATCGCGTCGGTCCTGGACATGTAAAGTTGCAAAGTGATTGTGCAAAGTTGACTTCCAAGACTCCCTCTTTAATATTTCAGAATCGAATCGTTCCCCTTTACCGGTTTGAAGGAAGAGTAATCGGGCCTATTTAGAAACCATTGTAAAAACGCGCGGCATATTTAGAAATTCAAACTTTTTTATTTATTCAAATATTTTCGATCGCGTAAATATTTGATATTGTTTCATATATATTTATTTTGGTCTGTTTCACTTCACAGATCGACAAATAGGTTTTCTTTTTCTGAGCCCTACTCACAAAACTATTCAACTGATATTCAAGCACTTCTAGGATTTACGGATATCAAATCTCAGCGCATACTAAATCACTTTATCTAATATTAAAATCACAAACAGGTTATTTTTCAGCACGTTGTAACTAGCAGTTGCCTCCATACAATTGATAACAACCTTTAAATATAAAGTTTCAATGCGTCGCATCTACTCTTAAAGATTTACCTATTCTAAAACTGTATAAGCATTCACTTCGTGGTATGTCGTGACGTCGTTTCAGATCATCGATATCGCGCGACATTTACCATGTCATGACATAGACACTGACCTTGCAAAATTAATATTTGTTTGTCGTGATATTCTATCTTCAAAGCAATCGCAAAGAATTTTAAAACATAACTTTGTAAATACTATTATAAAACGATAGAAAAGCTACGCTCAATTACATTAATTTGAAAGCAATCGTATTTTGTTGTATATTTCAATTCTATTAAAAGTTGGCTCTAAAATTGCCTAAATTTACCCTGCAGCAAGCAAACCATTCTCAAGAAAATCGAGTATTTCGTCAGATTCTGAAGTCAACGGTATAAACCGAATGAATTGAACATTCGGCATGATGTCTACAGGCCACAAAAGCCTAGTAGTAACAACAGTTGTGTTGTTTGCAGAAATGTACATATGATGCAGTAAAAGCCAACCCTAATACTCCCAACAGAGATTTGCCGAGGCAGAGCAAAACGGTGTTTAAATGTGCTCATTGCGACGACTTCTTGTGTAAAAAAAATGAAGACAAAAATTATTGGTAAAATTGGCACAATAAAGTTCAGTATTAGCGTTGAACAATGCATTCAGCGATTTATTTACATTTATTACATAATTCCTTAGACAACTGCATTTTTATTATTCATATTTTTTATGCAATTAAACGAAAATAAATAACACTACATATTGTTTTTTTTTGTTTAGACAAATTTTGAGCGAAGACGTTCCCGGGAAGGCCGCAAAAGCGGCTTTTAGGGGTTCAAATATTAAAGTCGCATTTACGTGTAGAGAACCTCATTCGAGTTAAATCTTCATTCATTATAATACTTACAATCCATGTCTGCTAGTCATGTAGTTAGATATGGAACTGTTCCATATATTTTGTAACACTGATACTATGTGATTTGTTGCCATATGTCAGATATATATCACGTTTTTTTTATTCAATAACGATAACCCTCTGCATCTCGAATACAACAGTATGTTTCACATTTATCTCAGGACAGAGAAAAGTCTAAACTCACATGGTGAACTATGGCTTTCTTTTTTAGGTTGCCAAGTTCAGCGCGAGTATATATATTAACTGTTTATTGGACACGTAGTGGACATAACGATCGTTTCAATATTATGTTGTTGTTGTTCTTGTTCTTTGACACGTTTTTAAAAAGTCGCTTTTCTCTTCGAATACTGGACCAATTGCTTTGAAATTTTCAGTGGTTAAATATAAAAATGTTCTCCAGAAGGCTATTACTTTTTTTTTCGCTATGACGTCATCAAAATTATGTGACTCTACGTGTCCATATATTTGAGCATAGCTCTCTTGTCATTATAAACGTTTGAAACTGGATGGTGGAGGAAGTCCAAACCCACCATAAGATAAGTAAACGACCCAGAAATGCTGTCGCACATAATTATCCTAACATTTTTTGTGATACTTTTGCACTGCCAATATATATTTTGTCACCGTTTTTATCTATACCGTGTTTCGTTTAACTGAATAAATAAAACAACAAATAAAGCTAAATAACAGATTTCTTTGCTTTCGAGTCAATAAATCCTGGTGAGCATTTGCCAGACTGTGGAAGCATGAAGTGCTGTTTATTGTGTTTTTAGCTTGAGAAACAGTACGGATTAATTGAGCTGATGAAGCCCCGATTTATGTCTGGCAGACACAATATTCACATTCTTGATTGGCTTCTGGTGTCACAATCTGGCAGAAAATCGGTTTCTTGAGTAATGGAATCTGTTTGTGCCGGTGCTTATTCCTGGTTATCATTGTAAACAAATAATTTACGTATTTTCACTTATTTAGACTTGAGGAGTCTGTGAATACACCGAGGAAAACTGAAGCATGAGGTCATGAGACCAGATCAGTCCCCAGTCAATATTGCTGATATAGTTTCTAAATCTAACGGACTGTTGATACATTTCTGTCTTATTATCAAATCTGCATATTGCAATCTCTCGAAGAAACAGTTGCAGAAAAAAACAAAGATATTACATGGAAACTGAATTTATTACGAGTTGAAAGAGTTCTTCAAATTTCTAAAATCAAGTAACTCAAAAACTTCATGAATTCTTAATCATATCTTATTCAACTAAAATATCATTCTGAAGTAATGTTTGAAGAGCTAAAAAAATTGAGAATCAGATATCAAATTTGAATATTATGAAATGCATTTTGAAGGATTATTGTTATATTGATCAAACGCAAATTAATCCAACTAATTACACTGTATCGCAAGAATAATCAATATTTAGTGTTCTATTCTGTAATTATCACAAATACCGATCATATAAATTTCAATTTAGGAATTAATGCTTTATGTTTTACTTATGATAGATCAATAGGAACAAAAAACAACCAGGCAGATGTTTCATTTCATCAGAATCTCACAAATTACTCCACTACGCCCCCAGGTGGGAGGAGCATTCACCATTCCTTGATACGGATAAGAATTCGGTTTAGAATTAACAACAAGATAAACATTTGTACGATTTTTATTATCAATTCCCGTGAATGGAAAATCATCCGGATACCAATCAGTGAATGAATCTGAAGGTGTGACGTCACGAGTCTAGGAAGAAAAAAATATATAGCGCTTATCGCAGGATCATGCTCGACCAAGCGTTTCATTTAATATCATAAATGACGTTTTTTTATCAATCAAAATGCGATTTATTATTTTATTATTCATTACATGCTTGATCAAATGTAAACGATGGTTTTTCTAGTCTCTCATATGTTATCAAGTAAACTTCATGTTCGTGTGCAACACAATGATTTGTCTATAACTCTAACAATTACTTTTTGATTGAACTCTAATCAGGTCAGTGCCAGACAAAAATTACTGTCATTAAAAGATTAATGTCACGATGGCTCATAACAGCCTTGCAAAACAACTTTCATTCAAATTTACCCAAATTCACAAACAGTCGAAACGCAAAAAAATATTCATCACACCATCTGCACAGTTGTAGCTGATAAACCAGCTCAAGTTCTCTCAAATATTATTGGCCGTGTCTCACGCCACACTCTACCCATTTTGTATTGTATTTTAATTTCCTACACGAGAAAATATTTGGCATAACTATCAGATACTAACCATTGGATCAATCTTAATTCCTGTCCATATCCAAATGTCACGCATATCCTCAGGAATATTCTTTCTCAAGTAATTCATAATCGCATTGTAAGATCCTTCATCGCGGATCAAACCAACACTTGCGTTACGTTTCTTACAGATATCAACTGCTTTGTTGTAGACGATATCATATTTACCTCGTATCGCAGCAAAATAGCAGATATATCTAATCTTTAATTTGCAGTTTTCTGAGAAGTAACGACTGTTCAGTGAAATCAAATCAAGTAATAATTATCAATAGATTGTTGCAACAGGCAAGAAATGCCTGGCCCTCTAACGATACTTCAATATATTTAAATCAAATTAGACTCATTAACCGGTCGAGTTTGTGCATGCAATGAAGTTTATTGGATAAGGTTAATGTTCTTCCGGGTTTTAAAATCATTGTGAAGAATTGTACTATTTTATAACCGCTGTAATGCGAATTATTTACCTGGAGGAGGAGTTGGTTTCACTGTTGTTTGAGTCGTTGTTGTTGGTCTGGTGATCTGCATGGGACTATTTGGAAGCTGCTTAGGCTTCTCCATAACAGCAAGTTTTTGTTCAATCTGGGATATCGCTAAATGTTAATATAAGTATTAAGTATTGAAAACATATACTTTCAATTTGCTTAAACACCAAACCTTTAACAACGCATTCACTCTTCATAATTTTTCAGTTGTTCAGTGTTAGAGTTAAAAATTTATTTATTATTTTTATAAATTTACTAATTTTAAACAGGCTTGCAATAGTTCTTTTAGTCCTACGGGGAAATAATGTCATTTAGATATCTTTTCTATGAATTTCCTATTCAAATTAAAATTACACTCACGACAAGCTTATTTTTTGCGCTGTGTCTCATCGCGGTAACTAACTGTGTCTCATCGCGGTCACTTCTTCAAGTGAATTGATCGGGAGAATATTTCTGCTGCATAAACAGTCCACAAACTTTGCCATGAAATGTTTTGTAAATCAATTGTAATTTGTGAGAATGACCTCCATTTCATACTTTGCAATACTGTCTACTGACATAAACAAAATCCCAAGATCGTACAGATTTTTGAAAAATACTACAAAGAAATTCTTATTTTGATTAATTTTGCAATTATGTTACCAGGTTATATAGACGACCTCCAAGATGTTCATTCATCCCCAAAATATATCCCGGTAAACTACAATGCCAGCAAAACAATTGTTTGATAAATTTTTACCTTCCTTCATCTTTTTGTTGTCTTCTGTCAACTTATCATTCATGTCGTTAACTTCAATCAATCCTAATGAAAGAATAACATTCAGATACATTCAGTAGCTCTTTATGGAATATTTTCCATCATTTTTCCATCATTGTTTATATATTCCAGGAAATGTGTAAAACATTTCAAAAAACTAGAACCGCAGTTCCATTGTTTTAAACTTAATGTTGATGGCGATGACAGAAAGCAGTATAACAATCATCACGTTATTTTATTCACCAACCTTTCTTCAGCTCTATGATCTCATCAGACTGTTTCCTAGCTTTTATCAACAGACTGTTTATTTGAATTGATTGTTCCTCAATTTGGTTGCCAGATACGAGATTTTCTGTTTGTATAAAAAATGAAATAGTTTTGATAAATTACGAACGTAATAATAAAAATTATTACTGATTCTCACCCTGCTTCCCAAAACTGTCAATGGTTTCTTTTTCATCGAAATTCTTTCAAGTTTTCCTAATACTGATTTGACACTTTCAATATTTTTATAGACAAATATACCCATTGTTTATTTACAAGAAGTTTTTATGAACAGAACAAGTTGTAATTTTTTGGCACTGACTCCACCAAAACATTAAATTCAAAACTGAACTGTATGAAAAATTCCATAACCTATCGGTGGTCAATTCGCTCTTTTATCCTATTGCGGTTATTTGACAAAGTCTTATTTGGTGCAAGCCTTTGTCTATGTTTGATCATTTTCCGATATAATGGAAGTTTGGAAATTGTGAAACACGACGCACCAAAAGTGAGGAAGTTCCGCATTTTATCATCACTAGGAGGTATCGTAATTTCTACTGTATCGTAGACACTGACCCGAAATTTCTTTTTCAAAACTCTCGATTTTTTCATCAAACTTGTTTTCTAATTTGTTCAATCCCATTCTGATGTTTGTGATATCTAAATATAGATTAGAATGCATCGTGAACACGCCCAAACGTAGATACCCGTCAGATACTGACTGACTCATCACGCATATAATTAAAACATTTCAATAATCTTTCGATTAACCACCTACCCAAATTTCTAGATACGAAATCAAGCCATCCGATGACAGTGCTATTGGACTTGCATGTTATCGGGAACTCTTTGTCATGCAGATGTTCATCGATGTTGAAACCTGGTCTGTCCCATCCCACAGCAACCGGATCACATTGTGAAATCTGGCAACCAGGCTTAGGAGAGCAGTGAAACACTGTTTCATCTTGACACCAAGATGAAGCAACGACGTAGATTAAGATAAAAATGATTGAGATTTTCATCTCGAGGTGTTAGTGTAGTTATGTAGTGACTGAATGAGGAAAGTTTAGGTTTGAACTTGTTTATTTTGTATATCTATGCGAATAAAATTCAAAATACAACGAGTTATGTCTGGAAACGTAAGTTAGATCTAATATTTGTTTTAAGGTTTTCCAAAATTTCTGTTCGTCGATAGCCTTTGGACAGCTTATAGATTGTTTATGTAACGCCAAAATCGGCCCTCTGTAGATTTTATTACAAAATGACAAAAAGACGGAAATGTTGCTTAATAAGCGAGGACAACTTACCGTATTTATTTGAGTATAACGCGCTTAATTATGTACTGATTCAATTCAAAAAATTGAGGGTGCGTGTTATACACAATAATAAAATATAAAGCCGAGTAATAAAATTACAGTAATTTTCAGTCGGAAATGGTAAATCAGTATTTACTTTGAAGCCTTCTAACTACGATTTTCTACGCCGTCAAGTATCTGTTCTGTATGGCGTCTTGTGATTGGACAAAATAGATCATGTGAACTGAGAATGTATGGATCTGATAGTTACTACAGTAGTTTAAACTTCCTACTAAACAGGTATGTTATTTCCTAGGGGAATATTGAACTCGTGTTGACAATTATCAACATCACGTGACAATAATTATTTGAGGGTAGATTAGAAGTTATAAAAATAATATCCTTATACTTAAATTAATGTACCTTTAAAAGTTGAAATGCATCTCTGGGATGACATGTACTTCAGTTTGGAAACCCCTGATATATATAGACCCTTACATAAGATAACGATATTTGTAGCCCAAATGCTTGCCATAGCTAACGCTAATGTGGAACAACTCACCGAGTTCCATACCCGTTAGACTTTAGCAATGACATCAAAGAATGAATTTTAGTTTTTTTGCTAAATTCTATTTAAACAAAAATTGCATGAATTATAAAATATAACTTCACTACTGCATTTTAAAAGTAATGACGTTTTCTCACACGTGATTTAAACGTAATCTGATTATTAAGAGTTAGTTATATAATTTCCCAAGCTTCCTGATAATTTATCAATAAATCAAGTAGAGTTTGTCGCGATATTAACCAATTAGAATGGACTTAGAATTTTTAGCTTGTTTACGAGAGATATTGCATTTGAAAAAATATTAACTTTTTCTAAATAGCGTTTATTATAGAAAAAGAGCCTCCGATATGAAAAAGCATACCTTATAAAATGCGTGGAACATTTATAAACGTCTTTTCAAAAATGGCTCAGCCTTTTTAGAAGAGGTATAAATGACCTATTCATGGACGATATAGCGTCATCAGAAGTGGCATAGCGTTTTTATACCAGCATATGCTTCATATGGTTGATCAAGCTTGTATAGAGAAGGTGTAGCGTAGTTTAAAATTAAATGGTATAGATGGAAAGCCTAGCTTAAGAGCATTTCCAAAAGTATTCGCTGCCCTCGTTTCTCCCGAATTGATAAACAAAATTTCTTTGTTAATAAATGAATTATTCCACAGTGTTTCCATATTAGTATTGTATGTAGTCTCTACTGCCAACATATATTTCAGTCTTCTGGTACACTCAAGTGACGTTGCGTTCAATTATTTCTGGTTTTATACTGATTAACTCATAGTAAAGCTGTTAGACTCAGCGATTTCCAGCGCCTATTAAATAATTCCAAGTATTATCAGCAGTATCACATGCGGTTCATTTCTTTCTAATTCTGATAATCTGGCGAACTGTTCCATCAACTAGTTGCCTTCATATAGTCGATATTAATCAATGCTGATATAGTTCCATCGCGTCGCTTTTATGCTTGAAAATTTATCGCATTCCGATATTTAAAGCAGCGCGCAGTTATGTTGTGACGCAGTTTTAGATCTTACTCAGATTTGCGGTTACGCGTGACGTTCGTTATGGGATAAACAATGACATCGCAGAATTAATTTTATTTTCTTGAAATATTCTATTTTTAAAGAAATCGCAATCAATTATAAAATATACTAAGCTTTTAAATATCGGCAGTATAGTTACAGGAATTAAATACCGTTACATTGTTGGATATTCTTGTCTTTCATTGAGCTTAAAAAATCGTAATGACTACCGGAATATAAAAGATACGAAACTACAGCCATATCTCAATCTGTCAGACTTGGCTAAGTTCCTCTTAATATAAACAAACCCAGCGCCCAAAGTAGTCACGTCAGATCTCAATATAATATTTCCAGTAATTGCGAAGGTCCTATCACTGTAAAGCTTTCGGGCTGTCGATCTATCTTGTCGCCATTTTATCTATGATATGTCGCGTGTAATATTATCTAGTGCCGTCCAGATAAAAAAAAAAACATTTAAAATAAAGCTGAGTTACGGGTTTCAGCGTTTTTGCGACAGTAAATTTTGGTAAACATTTGCCAAGTTGTAAAATTGGCGACGCATTCCCAATTAATCTGTATAGATGATCTGACAGTAGCCGAAATAATTTTCGGACTCACGAAATGACACATTTTTATACTTTTTTGTTTTAAATACGTAAATAATGCATGGAGCAACCCACTGAGCATGTTTTAACATTGAGTTTTTTATGCATTCAATAATTGTTGAAACAATTTGGATAGTGTTTTCAGCTTTCTGCCTATCCAGTTAAATTTAATCCACGTGCGCTCCGCGGAATAAATTAAACTAATTTCACTGACCTATTTCATGTTCAACCTGATCCCTCTGAGAAATAGTTTTAGGAATCAAGCTGCCACTTTTGTCCGAATAAAAACATCTAGTTCGACCTCAAAAACATCTAAAATAATCTAGATTGTAAAACAAAACATCTAAATAATATATCTAAATATGAAGTGACTAAATTTAATAAAAGTAAATAAAAGTGGCAAATAGTACAACTAGTTGTATTACATTATAGTAGATTTCAAATATCATTTGAAGTTGATGTTGTTGCAACAGTTTCTTCAGAGTGATTTTTATATGTTTCTGCTGTACTTATTTTTTTGAAATCGGAATAGGTTACGTATAAGACGTGCAAAATTTTTTATTTCGAATTGGTGAATTTAATAATAACTAGTATTGCATTCAGTGAATTTGTCTTCCTGCTGTTTCTTAGTTTGTGTTTTCTCAGTTTATTGCACTACTTTTTATTTTCATCGTTAGCATTCAAATGAGGTAGTCCCATTGCTGGCGTACATAACTGTTTCTGTGTTATTGTTCTACTCTCTGTCTTTACAAGAATAAAGTTTTGTAGCTCATTTATGCCCTGCTAATAATGTTTTTAGGATAGTTATGTTTTATGTGGTTGACAGAATGTATGTCGTATGTTGTTGAACGAAATTGAAAACAAAGATACTGCTTTCTGAAGCTGTCAAATTTGCAGGTAGTCTCAGTTTCAGCTGTTTACAGCTTTATGAGAGATACTGAAGAAAAGAAAACTTTGGCACATACTTTATACAGTTATATTGCTCTCTCCAGTTGTCGTCGATTTTTAGTTTTAATTTTAATTTACAGTAATTTCAATCTATGGAATATTTGAAAATGATATTTCGTTATTCCATGTATGCAAAATTCATTTAATATGTCTAATTTAGATAAAATTGTTTGAATATGATTTACCTTATGAGTAAACCGCCAAATAGACTTTCCGCTCTTGAGCGTTTATATAAACAAACTTTTTCATTTAATATTTTATGAAAATTACTGAAAATTAATGACTGAAGCAACTGAAATAGACCTTGAGAAAAAGTTTCATGACATTACTATAAGCAAGCTTAACCGACTGTCCCCTCTTAACCAGTTATCTGTTTGTGGGGTCGGCTCCAATCGAGAATTTCCACTACAGCTTACAGCTCTTTCGTTTGACTTCTGGGCGTTTGAAAGTTCTAAACTCCGATTCAATAATCCTGCTGCTGTCTCCCACAGACCATGGATAAGTAATTTATTTTCAAAGTGTGCATATAGATCGTTTTGTTATTTTGCTTTTCTTGTTGGAATTTTTTTTTTATCGTTATTAAATTCACTAATAGACAATTGCTTTGAAATGTTAAAGGTTAAAGATTGTATTCGCTAGAAGGCTATTACTTTTATTTAGTTCAAATTTTGTGGGATTCGTTTTTTTGTGTGTGATGACGTCATCAAAAATTGGGCATTTTATGGCGATTCCGATTTCGCGTGAATTCTGCCATACCGGGTATATACTGTGACAGATTGCATACCCGTACTACTTCGTTTTGGCATTCGTATTCATATTTTTGAGTATCGCTTTCTTGTTTCAAAAGCATTCCAAACTATGATGACAAATATCCTCTTAATGCGTTATTATGTGAACCTACTCAAAAGGATGAAGAGCACGAATCCTGTAACATAAATTAGAGCTTCAGAGTCGGGAAAAATATACAATCGAATCCCTACTCAGAACTAAATTAATTTAGAGTCGATGGACATTTCTGATTTTTTTTATTTTCATTAAACTCTATCTCCGCATTCGATATTAATTCGACTTTTCACAAAACGTGTAACTTTGCCTGATGATATAAACTTAAATAAACGGTCGTATCGCTTGCTTCAGTCTTTACCAACAAACTGTTTCGATTTTTGTTTGTATGCGTTCATTTATTTATTTTGGTTGACAAATCAATAAATCTATCTATCTGCTATATCACAAAATAGGCAAATCTCTAGCACATAGTCAACATCAAAATGTTGGAAACATAATCTGTTCCCCAAACTGGTTACATGTACCCCCGGAGGTTCCGACTTTTCAAGAGGTACATTGAAGGGGTCAATAAGGATATTCTTTCCATAACTTCTAATCTTCCCTATGTTAATAACTTGAAGACCTGAGTTTACAAACACTTTTTAAAAAAATCACATTTTACACCGCTAGAAGCTTCAGCTCCAGTAACTAACAAGTCTACTTTCGCAGTTCACATGACTTATTTCGTTCAATTACAGCTTATAGTACAATTTTGGGGGTTCAGGAGCGAATCTTGAACTTTCCAAAGGGTATCAATGAACAAAGTTTAGA